ATTTCAAAAAAATTATAATATATAATTTCCAAAACATTTCACAAAATTTTAATTCACACTTTGAATAAGAAATATTCATGTCAAATTTTAGAAGAATTACTTCCCACATAAATTTCATTAAAATTGACGTGTACAGACTCGAAATATTTACAATATCAATCGAAATTACGCCATAGCAGACAATATCTATTTTAAATCTGCTATGGCGTAATATCATTTTATTTGAAATTTACTGTTTTTCCTACTTCAATAAAAAATATATTAAAATATATATCCATTAAAATAAATCAAAATGAATACTAAATCAAATACATAAAAAAATATAAGAAAAAAAACAATCATTACCATATATTCTCTTTTTAAACTAGTAAAAAGATTAAGAAGGAAAAAGTTAATTGAGAAAATGGAAAATTAAATCAAATACAATGATACAAAGCAAGTGAAAGAAATGAATTCAAATAAAAAAGGGCATCAATCAATTTTATTAAAATAACCACAAATTTAAAAGTGCACATATTTATATTAAAATCTCCCATAAATAATCTTAAACAATTGAAATTTGTAACTTCCACTTTAATCAATAATAATAGAAATTGGAAATTATATTATTGTATGTATATTACTTTTTATTAACTTGTATGTTGATCTAACATACATTTTATCGAAAAAAAATGGAAACGGAGAAAATTGTTTATAAAACTATCAACGATGTTGAAATATGCATATGACATATCTGTGACTTCCTTTATTACTTTTTTTTTAACAGCTTTAGATAATTCAAGTTAAATAATTTTCAGTGGCACAATTTGATGTGATTTTTCTCTAAAATTCTTTAAGCAAAAAAGATATAAGCAATTGAAGAATCAGTACAAAATGACAACAGCGTTTAATCGTTTGTACTCATGCGCACGACTGTTTCATTCGTTCTATGTCGTCATCAATAGTAGGTCATCGCACTCTTCCTCATTCCCCCTTATTCTTTATCATTGTATACATATAAAAGTAAAAATTATAATACTATCTTTAAACAATACATCGATAGACATGAACAATTTTTAAATAATAAAATAAAAAATTAGGTATGTTATATCATCTTTAAATAAAGTGTTCTCTATATGTTATACAATCAATATATTGTATGTATTGTATTCGTTATTATA